AGTGACAGATTATCTACAAAACGTCTTCCTGCTACCCAGTATTTCATCACCAATGTCTCCAGAAGCCCACGCTAACGTGATTAAGCACACTTGCCAGGAAGTATTTCATTGTGGACACGTTAGCTTTTATCTGTCTTGTTGGGTAACAAATTCTTTTGTTGAGGATTGGTGGCAACAAAAATTAAATTAAAAGCAAAACCGGACCCCAAAACAGAAATTTATAATGCTTATTCTGTTCATCCCTCAAGAAAATGAAAGTGCCAAGGCAAAGTCTATTTTAGCAATTGCATTAATGTATGTGTAAATGGGTGAAGGCGCCTTTGAAATGCTCTGAAAAGAATTTCACACTTTAGAGAAGAGAAGAAGTTAACAATCCTATTGTGGCTTTTATTGGAATTTTTAAATTAATTTCCCCGACACAGCTGTGCCATAAAATCCCCCATGATGATGAATTTTTGCTAATGTCGAGATTATTTTTGGATACAATTCTGAAGGAGGACTTTGTAAAATTAGGAGAACACGGGTCACCGGGAACCCTGCGCTGCCCTTTCCTTGCCTCCACTCACCTCCAGCCTTTCCCCAAGCAGCTGCGAGGCTGCTAATTTGAAATTGCATCTGGTTTTTCTTCCACGGAGCAGCGAACTGGGGACAAACGCACAAGTGGCGTGAAGCTGAGCCCCCTTAGAGCAGTGGGCAAAGACCAGCGAGTCGCTAAGTCACTAACTCAGCACGGCGTTGGAAGAAGGACCTCCAAGGCCACCTGGGGACTCCTTGCTGGAGCACATCTACTCACTCTCCCAGAAAGGGCACGCTGGGAGCAGAAGATTTTGGCTCGGAACAAACAGCACTGAGGAAGGTGAAATGCAATGGATTTCTCCCTTTGTGCTGAGCAGTAGGTGAGAATCGTTTGGAGCTGGCAAAGAAGAGGAACCCATTTAATCTAGCTGGGTCACAGATTAAAGCAGATTAAATGATGCAAGGGATGACGCACTGGGGATCCCCATCATCCCTGCATCTCAGCCAGACCACATCCAAAAGGCTGAAGGATATGCAAAGAGCAACCTCGCAGCAATGCACAAGGGTGGGCTTTAAAAACCACACGTCCCACCAATAACGAGGCTCAACCCGCAGCCGTGGATGGACTTATGGAGAGGGACAAGCAGACGTTTGGAAATGAAGAGCGCAGGGTGAGGCGAGAAGACCCAGGGGAGGTATGAGTAACACCACACAGGGATCGCTACAGCCTTGGACACTGGAGGATGGGGACCTCATGGGGGACTTTTGCTGGGAAAGGCTTTGGGGTAAGCAGAGTGGATGGATGTTCTCACTGAACTGCAGGAGAACCAGGGGGCAGGAGGGATAGCACGGACGGTGGCAGCCACGAGCTTGATTTTAACAGCGATAGGCAAGTTTTAGATCCCGCAGAGGAGAGAGTTAACAATAGCTGACACGCTTTTGTCTGGAGGAGTCACAATGACTAGAAAGAACAACTCGGGGCCATAATTCTGCGGTCTGTCACTACCAGGAAACGTGAAATCCAGTGACCTTTCATCTCCACGACAGAAAATGCTGCGCAGCACCTGGAGCCATCGCTCTTAAAATTCACTCTGACAAATCGGACGATGGGACACGAAGGAGAAAACGTCCTCTCCCTCCTTCACCCCCAAATTTTCGCCTCCCAGTGAACTCCGCCTGCTCTGCGTGTAATGCGGTGTTCCCTGCTGAGCAGAGCCAGCTTTGCACGAGCTACACCGCATTTAGCAAAGCACATGATAACAATTCTATTTCTTTCGACAATAAGGAATAAATCTCCAAAGCCAGTTGTTCAGACTGCTCTTAAATGATGGTAGAGGGAGGGAAATTGCTATCGGCTTTTTATGAATCTTCAGGTCAGGTATGTTAGAATCAACAGATTTTTGCATTAACCTCACTGCTTCACAGAACTTTTACCCTTGGCAAGACATAATTAAGAAAGGCATGAAAATCTATCTGAATGTATAGAGAAGAAATTATTCTCCCGTTAATGGCAGCAACAGCTAAACAAGCAGGCAAGCCAGGCTGCTAGCAGAGTGCAGCAAACGATGCAAGGCTGTGTTTTAACCTAAAACGAGGATTTCCCTTACCAAAATTTTAAGGAGTAGCTTTTGAAATGAGGATTTGCACTACGTGTTGTTCTGGGGATTAACTCCCCCCGCCCCAACAGCTGTATCCCTTAAGCTCTTCTGTTTGCCAGTCTAAAATGATGACCACAGGGACTGAGACTAAGCTAAAATCTTTTCATCGCACTGAAACATGGCACTGTAACTGCCTTCACCGCTTTGGCAGAAAGCAAAAGGTACTGGATGGAAGGAAAAAAACAAATAAATTAAAAAAAAAAGGGAGTTTCAGTCATTTAAGTGGGTCTGTCAGCTTGTGTTACCTTCATGCATTTGTGAAACTGAGCTTTAATTGACTGGCCGCAGTGGAGAGCCGAAAGAGAAAATCTTAAGTCTCAAGATGAACAGACAGCTTAAAGCATTGCGATCCTCCTTCATTAGGATGTGTCAGAGAGATTCAGAGGGGGAAGAGACACAGCAACGTCTGTTGCTCCTTCACGTGAAGTTCCCAAATGTAAGAGGGAGGCGAACGGCGTGGGCCACACTCGGAGCCACATCCAAGAGCAGTAACAAAATCTGCTCATCAGATTCCCTGTGACAACATAGACTATCTTGGTGCCTACTAATTTCTATCACTGTGTGAATTATTTCATTTCATTTGCAAAGGATAAAGCCAAAACTACGAGCATTGGCCAACTCTGAGCCAGGCAGCTCCACCTGCGGTGGGAGGAGCAGAAAGCCCTGCCAGCTGAGGAGGGTCTCACATCTCATCCCTACAGTCAGGCTGGGATGCAAAGAGGGGTTCAGCTCCCCTCCACAGCATTCCCCATGTAGATAAGCTCCTCGATCCCACAGAACAGCCGCACCACCTCTCCCCTTCATCCACCGCTGGCTCAGAGCTGTGCTGCAAGCCCCGGTCTCCCTGGCCCCAGAACCCGGGAGCCCCACCAAGGCATGCAGGTTGCTCTTAAGAGGATGGTGAGAAATACTTCTCTGCCTCAAACAGGTTTCAGAGAACTTTATATCTGTGTCTCCAACAGATGAGTGAAGGGAGGAGCAAAGAAATTGGGCAAAACCATGGAAGAAGCCTCCTGGCTTCTAGTTGAGGGTTTCAATCACTACACTATGCCCTGGAACCCCTTCAGCAGGTGGCTAATTTTCCTTCTGTCCTCCTTCAGTAGGAGCTGCTGCTTTCCCTTTCCTCCTGGCTATCTGAGCACTCTGACTAGAAGAAAGATGCTGCCCGTGCCCGGTCACCAGGGATGTTTGGGGACTGCAACACAAAAGCCACTGACCTCCAAAGTAGGGGACTCTGGTTATCGGGGGAAATGGGCAGGGCGGTGAAGGGTTGGTAGCTCCAAGCTCCAGCAGCTCCTGGACTTGTGTGAAGCCACCTTTGAGGCCGCACTCCTGGGAAGCCTGAGCGATGCTCACAGTTTGGATTCCTGTGACGTGAACCAGATGGGAAGGAACTGGCACGTGCTGCCACCGTAAATGAGGGGCATTCAGCGTGGTACCCTATACGCGATGGGAACACGGAGGCCAAAGACACACGAGCGGCGTCTGTTTGGGTGTGAATGAGTCTGAGCTACGGTGACAGGCACAGTGATGGCCAGTGTTACCTCTCCCCGTCATCAACCCAAGACATTAATCTTGTTGAGTGCGATGGGAACCCTCAGACCCAAGCGCAGTTGGGTCATATGCAAAGGGGGTGGATAGAGCTGGTTAACATACCGTTTCTCTGAAGTTCATCAACAACAACAACAACAACAACCCCATGGAATTTCCTATGAACATTTTCTGCTTTTCAACAGAAACATAAAACTAAACAAAAACCTTTCAAAATATTTTTGAGTAAAAATCATGGTTTAATATAAAGCTCTGGATTTCAAGTAGTATTTTTGGCACAATTTTCCAGACCAGTCTTAAATTTGCCAATTCCTTTAATAAAAATATTTTGCATTTCCAACCCTTCACCTTTTCTGTGTCTTAAAGAGCAGAAAATGTGTTGAAAATGTTATTTCTTTTAAACATTTTCATTTAGATCTAAAAGCAATCATTACTCTGATCCAGCAGTGGTGATGTATGTAAGAGGAAATATATACGGATAGTGAGTTCTAAACACGAGAAGATGAGTCTAAGTAGCCATTTCTTGGATGTTAAGCAAGCCATGAAGTGGTTTGTGTGAAGCTAGCCCACCTTTTAATCTGTCTTCATACCTAAATTAGGAGAAAGGTGCTTTTCCAGAGACATACGTGTGTATGGGCTGTGGTACAAGACCGGGGAGACCTTCTTGGAAACAGATTTATTTTCCAGAGAGGTACTTTCAGTCATCCCCAAACCATTCTTGAAAGTATTGCTGAATCGGACTCCAATTCAGGAAATTGT